TTTGATGGGGGAAATGGTCCCATGAAGTCTATCCCCCATACATCAAACAACTTTACTTCTAAGATCCCATTAAGTGGCATTTCATTCCTTTTGGAAATGGATCCACTTCTTTGACACTCATTGCATCTTTGTGCAAAATTGTGGGCATCTTTGAAGAGAGTAGGCCAATAAAAACCAGATTGTAAAACTTTAGCAGCTGTTCTTTGGCCTCCAAAGTGTCCTCCATATGCTGCTTGGTGGCAATGCTGCAGAATTGCTGCCACTTCAGTTTCAGGGATGCACCTTCTCAAGATTTGATCTGCACTTATCTTAAACAAGTAAGGATCATCCCAAAGGTAAGTTTTAGTATCATGGAGAAACTTTTTGAACACATGGCCAGAAATATCAGAAGGTCTAATTCCACAAGCCAAAAAATTTGCTATGTCAGCAAACCATGGTGGCTTTGATTCCAACACAAGAATTCTTTCATCGGGGAATGTTTCAACTATCTCTCCTTCTCCTAGGATCTCCCTAGGCTTCTCTAATATTGACAAATGGTCTGCAACTTGGTTGTCAACTCCTTTCCTATCTACTATCTCAAGGTCAAACTCTTGTAACAACAAAACCCATCTTATCAACCTAGGTTTAGCATCTTTTTTGGAAACCAAGTATTAGATGGCAGCATGGTCAGTGTGAACAATGACTTTTGTTCCCATCAAATATGATCTGTATCTTTCAAAAGCAAAAACCACAGCTAAAAGTTCTTTTTCAGTTGTTGTGTAGTTAAGTTGTGCTTCATTCAAGGTCTTACTTGCATAATAGATTGAATGAATTTTTTTTTCTTTTCTTTGACCCAAGACAGCTCCAACAGCCCAGTCACTGGCATCACACATGATCTCAAAGGGTTTGTTCCAGTCAGGAGCAACAACTACTGGCGCGGTTACTAAAGCTTTCTTCAAGGTGTTGAATGCATTTCTACACTCATCCGTAAAATCAAACTTTTGATCATGCTGCAATAGTAAACACAAAGGTTTTGAGATTTTTGAAAAGTCTTTTATAAACCTTCGATAAAACCCAGCATGACCAAGAAAACTTCGTATTCCCTTGACAGTAGTTGGTTCAGGTAGTTTTTCAATGATTTCAAGTTTAGCTTTGTCTACCTCAACTCCTCTTTTGGAAATCAAATGGTCCAAAACAATTCCTTCTTTGACCATGAAATGACACTTTTCCCAATTGAGAACCAGATCAGTTTCTTCACATCTTTCAAGACTCCTTTTTAAATTTTCCAAATAGTTATCAAAAGATGAGCCATAAATTGAAAAATCATCCATAAAGATTTCTATGGATTTTTCAAGCATGTCAGAGAATATGGACATCATGCATCTTTGAAAAGTTGCTGGAGCATTGCAAAGTCCAAAAGGCATTCTCCTAAAGGCAAAAGTACCATAGGGACATGTGAAGGTGGTCTTTTCTTGATCCTCGGGTGATATGGCTATTTGGTTATATCCGGAGTATCCATCCAAAAAACAGTAATACTCTTTTCYAGCCAACCTGTCTAACATCTGATCAATAAAAGGTAAGGGAAAATGGTCCTTTTGGGTGGCTTTGTTTAGCCTTCGGTAGTCCATACATATTCTCCAACCAGACACTATTCTTGTAGGGATGAGTTCATTTTTGTCATTGGTGACAACAATAAACCCTCCCTTCTTTGGGACACACTGGATTGGACTAACTCAGGAATTACCGGCTATTGGAAAAATTATTCCGGCGTCTAGCCATTTCAAAATTTCCTTTTTCACTACTTCTTTCATGACCGGGTTCAATCTCCTTTGAGGCTCTATAGATTTGAAGTTCTTTTCATCTAGGATGATCTTATGTTGACATATGGAAGGACTAATCCCCTTAAGGTCAKCAATGGTCCATCCTATGGCTTTGGTGTGCAACTTCAACATATCTATAAGCTTCTTTTCTTGATGTAAATCTAGGGTAGATGATATGATGACAGATAATTTACCTTCCTCTCCTAGATATGCATACTTCAAGTGAGATGGGAGTTGCTTTAACTCCAGATCAGGTGGTGAAATYACAGACGGGGTAAAATTCTTAAGCTCACTATTGTCCAACAGCTCAAATGCTGCAGCATCAAATGGGACATCACTTTCTGAATCTTCAACAATATCATCACCTACTTCCACACTATCCTCCTTCTCTAGCTTACAGGCCTTCCTAACTCCTTCCTCATAACATATTGTCTCAATCTTAGTAATTCCTGAGCATTCCTCTAAGTAATCAGGGTACTTTAAGGAATTAAAGACATTGAAAGTGACTTTCTGATCTTGGAGTCTCATGGTCAGCTCTCCTTTTTGGACATCAATCAAAGTTCCACCAGTGGCTAAGAAAGGTCTTCCTAAGATTATGGGAATATCCTTATCAGCCTCAAAATCTAGGATGATAAAGTCAGCCGGAAAGATGAATTTGTCAACCTGAACTAAGACATCCTCAATCTTACCTTTAGGATAAGCAATGCTTCTATTAGCCAATTGCAAGGTGACAGTGGTGGGTCTAGCTTCTCCTATGCCTAGGGTGTTGAAAACAGATAAGGGCATAAGGTTGATACTAGCTCCTAAATCACACAAAGCTTTACCAATCTCCTTTCCACCTATAGAACAAGGAATAGTGAAACTCCCTGGGTCTTTAAGCTTAAGGGGTATTTTGTTGGTTAGAAGTGCACTACATCCCTCGGTAAGAGCTACGGTCTCATATTCGGTTAACTTCTTCTT